TGTGAAAAGATTAATTCCTAATGCAGGAAATTGTATAGGGCTAATAAAGTGATGGTATGATGTTACAGCTTGGCCTGGCACAGAAAAACAAAACTCCAGCCAGTGTTGGGAAGTAAAGGTAATGGACAGATGACTATCCCCCACCACTATTTCCAAATCCCAAGGGTGCTTCGTAATTGGAAACACAGGTTTGTTTGTTTTTTTTTTTAATGGAAGCAATATAACATTAACCAAATTAAAATACCAACTATTTTAATACAAAGACTCAGCAGTTTTTACATTATCGCAGATATCTGTCAGGTTGTGCGATCAGCATTCTTAGGAGACAGGGTGAGAAGCTCTTTTGTCTTAAATCACGTGCACACATACTACAGCCAATTCAGGCCTCAGACGTAGATCCACATCAGAGATGCCCAAAGGCCCGTCTTCGGGTATTTAAAAGTGTGTGGTTTTTGTTGCAGCCTCAGTTCTTCATGACTTACTTCCACTAATTATTTAATAATAAAAATAATTCCTTACACTTACATAGCGCTTTTCTGGACACTCCACTCAAAGTGCTTTACAGGTCATGGGGATCCCCTCCACCACCACCAGTGTGCAGCCCCACCTGGATGATGCTCCAGTACACTCACCCCACACCAGCTCTCAGTGGGGAGGAGAGCAGAATGATGAGGCCAGTTCAGAGATGGGGATTATTAGGAGACCATGATTGGTAAAGGCTAATGGGAAATTTGGCCAGGACACCGGGGTAATACCCCTACTCTTTTTGAGAAACACCCTGGGATTGTTAATCTATAGGATGGCGCCTTTTTCCAAAGTCTAGTGTCACTGTCACTATACTGGGGCATTAGGACCCACACAGACTGCAGGGTGAGCGCCCCCTCCTGGTCTCACTAATAACTCTTCCAGCAGCAACCTTAGTTGGTACTGACCAGGCTCACACCTGCTGAGCTGCAGTGGGTTGCCAGTTATGAGTTGCAGGGTGAAACGGCTGCTGGCTTTTTCTTAAACTTAATTGGTCATATAGGCCGTTTTAACTTATTTCCTTTAGCTGGAGATGTATAGTAGACACCTGCAAATACTTCAGGAGACGGGCCCCCAGCCCCAGACTCTCCTTCCCTATAGACGTCTGTCCCCCGCTGGTTTGAGCCACTGTCCGTGGCTGTCCGTACTTGGTGACAATATGATTTCAGTATCATATACCTTCAAAATCAGTGTTAGACATGCAAAATGGGTTTCCTGTTTTTAAATCAATACTCTTACCGTGTGGGTAAAGATGCTGAGGAATCACCTTTGGCGGTAAGGGGATTTAAGCTTTTTTGTACCCTCTCTGTGTTGCAGTGATATTGAAAGGTCGCCAGGGGGCAGGGTCACATTTAATATGCATGCTACGTCACATTGGTAGGAACTGACGGCACCCGGAGTTCATTTGTTTCATCGGCAGCTATAAATCCCTCGTGTATGCTAAGCGCTTTGTAATCACTTCTTGTTTTAACTCAAGGAATCATTATGACACCATACCATAGCTACAACTGTTGTTAGACTGTACTCACAAAAATATGATCCACCTTATTAAAAAAATAATAATTTAAAACGTGGAAAAATCAATAAATAGTAAAAAACGTACAAATCATAGACTCAAAAACTATCTTAAAAGCATATCTATCCATTATACTTTTGATATATTATGTCCTGTGCTGTGTCTTTGTCTTATAGAGCGGAACACCGCGTTTGAGCAGCTATAATTTGCAGCTGGAATTTGAGTTGCTGAACCTATTGTAGAAGTAGCTTCATCTCCATTCTAATCTTTTCCCAGGCGCAACGACTATATTTCAGAGAAGAAAATGAAGACGAGGATGGGAGACGCACGAGAGCATTGTGATTGTTTAAACAGACCATACAATCGTGTAAAACGCTGAATTAATAGTTTATACTGTAGCTTCAAAAAAATTTTTTTTTCAAATGTAATATTAGCGGTCTTCGTTGTTACATTGTGGGCTTCACATGGAGTTTTTTTCCCCCCGAAACAAACATTTAGCTCGGTAGAAAAAGTTTCAATTGGTGATACTCGAGGAAAAGCCTGTTTACAATTTTTCCTGTGCTTTACGGAGCAGCCTGACTTCGTATATTAATTACTTTAAACCAGAATGCTGTTATTATTGAGATATTCTCATATATCACTGGAATATCGCTCATTCCGCCTCTTGTTGTTTCACAGTAAGTCCCGAATGGAGAAGACCATGAAGGGACCCGATACTTGTCTTCAAAATCCAGCGGATTTCATCAGAATGATCAGTGAGACGCGAACCAGAGAACACATGTTGGAACTACTTGTAAGTACATTTTAATCAGAGAGCAGGGCGCAGGCCTTTACCCAAAGGGTTGTAGGAGCATGGAACAAGCCACGATGTTGAAGCCGGGCTTCTCTCAGGAATCGGCTGGATGAGATCAATTAGCTACTAACTACCAGATTGGCTGCTGGTGCGAAAGGCCTCTTCCGTTTGTAGCCCTACCCATGTTCATACGAGCTGTCTGGATGAGTTTCCGATCTCTAAACTCAATTTAAGAAACGGGAGAGATTGACTGTAGGCGGCGCATAGATTTGTTCCTTGTGTGGAAAGTGTAGTAGTTTATAAATAAAAAAAGATTGAAACGTCTGTAAAAGTACGAAAACTATCGTATCTCGTCTCTTAAATAGGTTTTCATGTTTTCCCCAATTCGCATTTTTAACCTTCTGTAGATTTGTCGGGTTTTTTAAAAAAAAAAAAAGACTTTGGCATTTTCTTCACGTTCCGCTTGTAGTGAGAGACCAGGGAGTTGGAAAAATAACTGTACAGAACAATACAGATTTACAAATCAATCGTCTTCAGTTCACCTCTCATCAGAATATAGGCTAGGCGGTGGATCATTATGTTCCTATCTGATTGCATAGCTTATTATCGATAATGTTGTTACTATAATGCAATCGATTATAACAATAATAAAACGAAACGAAAATGTACAATGATTGTACACAAAACGCTGGGCTTGATGTCTGCAAAGCCTGTACAAATTCTTATTTGGGTTATCTACACAGGTACTTTCCCACACACATTTGTGTGGATGTGTGTACAGTGTTATCTGTCCAGAAAGACCAAACTTTCAAGTTTTGCCTCTTCGCTTTCCTGACATAAACGAAGCAGAAAGTGAAAATATTCATTGTGTACACATCGATGACGACATTAGCTATTGTACTGGAACGAAATCGATTCTGAGCTCATTTGGCAGCCGTATTATTATTATTATTATTGACTGCTTATTATTATTTTAGATAAAGTGTAACCTTTGCTATATATTAAGGAACCATCGATTGATTTGACAGTTAAATTAAAAAGAAATCAGTGCTGAGGAAGACTATATCAAGTTTTATTTACCCATTTATAAATAAGAAAATAATCTGATCTTTGAGTGCGTTTAAATGAACAATTTACTGTATTACTAGGATCTTCAGTTTTTATTTGTTTTAAAAATCGCCATAAAAGTTGTAAAATACCTGTAATCCCTCAGCATGGAAAGCCTTAGCCTATAATAATAGCTGTATTTTAATTATATTAATACAATTTTAATTACTTTCAACAGATAATGTATTGTTAGTGCGATGACGTCTTAGAACCGTTCATGTTAATTAAGGTACATTTACAGATGGTTGGTTATGATTATGTTTAGAATTATCTAGCAGCTGCAATGAAAGTCACAGATGGGTTATGAACTGGAATTAAATTAAATAGGTGAATGTTTTTCCTTTACAGTATAAAAGCGTATATTATAATGTAAATGTCAGTAGACGTTCTTACGCTTACCTCCTGTGCTTTTAATAACATGACACGTAGGATCTGATCGGCTGGACTTAAGATTCGAATATGAGGTGTATTTTTGTGTCACGTTCTGCTTGTACAAAGACAGCTGTCAAGAAAGGCTTCAGAACATTTGTGAAAATGTTTTCTGTTACAGATTCTGTAAAAGTATATATATTTTAATGCAGTTCTTAATCTTTAAATACTTCAATTTCTGTGCTTAGGGTTTTTTTTTTCATTTCATAAGAACTGAGCAAAATAATTAACCGCCTTTCCTTACTTTTGTATTCTATAGATTTTCGAATAAGTCTTAAGTAAATACGTTATTAATTAAATCATAGTAAAACATGACTCTTCCTTTTTTGCATTTTGCTTTATATTAGAAGATCTTTTCCATTGATATTCGTTTTTAACGATGCATTAATGAAGCCAAATAATGATTATTCTGATAAAAATAACGTTTCGCGAAGCTGACAGTAACACTTTCGATGTTGTGTTTTGAAGGTTTTGTGACTCGATACGCTTAATGCCGAAAATTAGTGGTTAAATATCTTAAATATTTTCGCCCAGGAATGCAAAGACTGGGTGTTTATTTAACATGTACATTAAAACAACCAGCACCAGTGAGCAATTACTGAAAGCGAGTTTTGGAAAAACATACATGCGTGATTTGCTTTTCGGGAAAAACACAGTATTTTGTAACAGAGTAATGCATAAGTTAAGATGATACTTCCACCAGAGTTTAAGTAGGGTATAGGCAACAAGCTTGGGTTTCATAAATGCAAATGAATTTAAATTGGGGGTCCTTATTACTCGAAACTGAGTCCCACTAGCCAGTAACACTGAAAACACATTTGTTTATAATGTGTATGTAAAGCACCCTAAGGAGTATGTCAACACCCTATATATCGCATACAAAACCAGGTATATCATATATATATATATCGTATAGCAGGGGGAATGATAAGCGACTTTAAAAACTTGGGGCTGAATAATTGTTGAGTCATCGTGCCAATATGCTTAGAAATGTTTTCCCAGGGCGCCGAAGCGTCTTTTCGTTTTTAAAAGCTGAAAGTATAGGGGAAAGCGGCAGTCAAGTACGCGCCTAGAATAACTTCCCCTTAGGGATTACGTACAGCAAGAGAAACTGCTTGGCTGAGACACTGCCATAAACACTGGAAATCCCTGAACAAATTAAATTAGCCACTGTGTACCAGCTAATGTTAGATACGGATTGTTGCCGACCGGCGACCCAGGATGGAGTCACTACAGAAGGTGACTGGAGAGAAAAGGTCAACAGAATTCTGCTTAATTTCCTTCTAACACATGGTAGAGTTTTACAAATTCGCGGTAGACCCAACCCTACGCATCATCCTACATCTGAAAACAGGGAAGATTATATGAAATCGTGCGCGCCGCCATCTTGTCTAGTTCACTTGGATGAAGAATCCATATATGAGGGAGGGAAATAATGAAGTTTGTTGACCTATTTTACCTGATTTAGGTCAAACTGGAGGGGAAGAGGGGAGAGCGGGTACCCTCTAGAGCTGTTGCAGCAGAGTGGTCTGCCTTGGTCACTATACCCTGATCCATCGGGCATTGCTGTACCCTTGGCCTGTTTCAGATGGACAGTGGTGTGGCAGAGGTGGGACAGTTAGGAATTGTTGTGTATTCATTTCAAATTGTTGTACATTTGAATTGCTTTTCCAATGAAATACGCTCTACTGTTTTCTATAAGTGCGGGCGGTATGTTTTGATTAAGATACTGTGCCAAGACTGAGAAGAGTCTTACAAGCATCAGGTTGTCATATTTGGAGAGTCTATGATTCTTGTTTATTCGTTAGGCACAGTTATATAACTAACAAAACATATTTTACAAAATAATAATAATAATAATAATAATAATAATAATAATAATAATAATAATAATAATGGAAACTGTTCGTCCTTTTACAATTGCCCGTGCTTTATACTGTATCCGTAAGACGAAAGGAGATATACATGTTCAACCAAGATTGCACATATTGGCCACGCTAACATTAAGTCGGGAGCTTTTCAAGAATGAATGAAAAAGGCTGGTGCTTTTTTTTATCGGTGTTATTATATTATGCTTAAATTTGCATTAAGTAAAATCGAAAATTTTCTCGTTCTATGACTGCTTAATTCAACAGAAAAACATATACACAGGGGAATCCAGCACCGACCACAGACTCTCGGTGTTCTCAAGGCACGGGCAACACACAGCTGGAATTTATTGTAAGGTCGTAATTCGCTCAAATTTTATATTTTACCACGTACAGTATATCTGCACGGTCGCCTGAGGTTCCACACCTACTAACCCAGTTCAGAGGAGTGTGACGTATCCAAACAGGGAAAAGGGGCTTGGGCGTCTTTACGTATTAAAAAGGATGTATGGGCTTCTGACACGCAGATGAAGCGTGTTAAATAAAAGCATAAGGCGATTGTAGCTGCTCCGATCTGTCCTTTGGTTATGCGATAGTACTTCTTTACAAAAGAACGGAAAGGCCGAGGCTCAGATCTATAGTATTTAACCTACTTCACCCGATGCGAGATTCCAGAATGAACCACTTTTTTAAAATCATGATTCTGCTTTTCCGACTTAATTTTTTCGAATAATTCCCGTTCCCGCCCGCTGTTATTTCCTTAGGTCATAAGCTGCCAGTTACGAGCCTGCATTGCGGTATTCGCCGGGAGGAAGTTCATATTTAATAAACACATTATTTACATACAAGCCTTTTTTACATTTCCCACACCGGCGCTCAGCATTGCAGAACTCCCAGCGGTGGAATTGTGAAACACAGGGACCAAAAACTTTAAGGGATTTTTCTGAGCCCTTTCAGTTTCCATACATGAACTTTCCAAATCCCGTCAATAAAAACACCTGCAAATGGATGATGTTTCTGACACAAAACAAGTCTCCCGGCCGACCAAGTGCAGTTCAGTCTTACTCCTGAATAACAGAGTTGAATAGAACAGACAGCAGATAGAAATTCAGCGGAGTGGTTCTAGTTTGAACTCCACGATGACATTGAATGGTCTATTTACCCGCGTGTGTATATTACTCTTGGCGGTTTCCACCTTGACGCTTGGATGCATTAACCACCGGATCCAGGTTAACTACATTGAAAAGAGCCTCTCTCTATTAGAGACCATGGTAAGTACTACATAAGAAAGAAAGGAATTGTATGTTTGCTGATGACTGATTAGACAGCTTGATCGAAAGGCGCGCTGACACGAGACAGCCGTGCGATAAAATCATTATCATGGATCTGTATACCGAGACTTTGAAAACCACATCATTGCAAAAGGAGACGCACGGTTTTCCCAATCACCCTGATTCAAAATAGTTAATATTTTCTCTTTGTACCCGAAATCCTACGGCTTTGACGAAGGACCGATTGAAAGATAACTAGATATCCTCAAAGAAAATCCTCTATTGGAAAAAATGAGTCAAAAGGGTTTTTTGCTGTGCATCTTATTGTGAAAGGATAGTGTATCTAGAGAATGTGTATAATTGTTTCTGGTTCTATGTTTGTGTCTTTTATAGGGAAGTAAAGTTCCGGAGCAGTGCTTAGAAGAATCGGCTGAGATGCACATGAACCCAAATCGTGTTATCTCTAAAAGATGGAAGGTAACTGTATTTTTTTACCGAAAGCCGTCGCGCCTGGCCCATGGCTCAGATCAAGTGTAGTTTCTGTATTTTCAGGTACTAACAAATCAGATGTTGGGGTTATTAACATACTTCACGTCGCCTGTGCGGTGTGATGGACTGGAGTTCAGCCTTGCGCCACTTGCTTGTTGGGAAAAGGTCCAGCTCCTTAAAGATGACTTGATCTTTAACTTTATACAAATCAAATGAAAACCAAGCAATTCGAGACTCGGCACCACGGAGTTGAGATGATCGGTGACCTTGATGGTGCTGTAACCTGTGTCTACAATCGGGGCCTTGTAATGGTTTAACGCGTGTTAACACATTTACGATTATGTCTTTCAATCGATCCCACCAGAAAGGGGAGACTGCGCAGAACGTGAAAGACGTGTTCGAGCTGGCCAGCGAGCTGTTCAAGGTATCGCCGGGCTCGGTATCGTGGGACACAGGGAAACTGAAGGAATTCCAGGAGCTCTTGCACACCCAGGCAGCTGAGTTCGCTAAATGCGTAAGTTAATAAATAACAATAATAATTCCATACACTACATCTATATTTGTCTATATCGCTTTCTGGACGCTCCACTCAAAGCGCTTTACAGGTAATGGGGATCCCCCCCGCCACCAGTGTGCACCACCTGGATGATGCACCAGTGTACTCCCCACACACCAGCTCTCAGTGGGGAGGAGAATAGAGTGATGAAGCCAGTTCAGAGATGGGGGTTATTAGGTGGCCATGATTGGTAAAGGCCAGTGAAAAACTTGGCCAGGACGCCGGGTTTGCGCCCCTACTCTTTTCGAGAAACACCCCGGGATTTCTAATGACCACAGAGAGTCAGGACCTTGTTCGCAGACACTATCAGAGAGACAGACACACAGAGCTACAGCCACAGACACTGTCAAGACAGATAGCCGGCGCCATGTTCTTAGAATTTACTTTCCAACAAACGTGTCGAGATGAAAAGCATTGCTCAAATGTAAGCTGACAAAGCGATTGATTTCCTTTCTATGCTAAACTATACAGGCTGTGAATATTTATGGCCAGACTAAGCCCATCATTAGCAGACTGTTATACTTGGAAATGTTTTCTGCAGGCGTGCGTGAAATTAGAATCAAATTAGAAATCGGGGCACCGCTATGATCGGCAATTCTGAGGAGCACTGTCTACTGTATGTTTGACTCCCCCTTTGATGTTTCACTGCGCGCCATCTGCGATGTTTCATCCGATTCTTTATTTTTAAAACATCTCGTTTTTTTTCAGGCCCCCAAACTCAAGATGAACAACGCAGCCTGGCGAACAAAAACCAGGGTGTACTTCGAGAAGCTGAAGAAGGCCGTGGGAAGTGAGGTGAGACAGTACATTTCCACCCCGGCCGTTTTTGTGTAAGGAGTAGGGGTGGCATTCCCTATTGTAACGCAACGGGGGCTCAGGCGGGCGCCCTTGTCGCATTAGGTCGGCCCCCCACCGTCGGGGGCTCGAACCCGGGACTCCCGCGTCGCTCTGCAGGGACCCAGCCCGGTGAGCCAAAAAGCGATCTGTCTACAGCCCAGTAGCTGTAGTCCTGCTATCACAGGGAAGGGCGGTGACGTCACCTGCTCTGGTACGCCGGCTCTTACACAGTGCCTGTCGGCTGTAAGCGTTACACTATGTTAATTATACATTTGGTTACATTGTCAGTGCCCCTCTTACTTTTTTTTGTGCTCTGGAATACACTGTCCGAAAAAGGGGAATTTTTTTTTTGCAATGCAAGCGAGAGGCGAAGTACAAAAAAAATCCAGAGATACTGTATTTTTTCGGGGGTATTTTGCAGCGCTTTCAGCGCATCGCGAGATCTCCTTATGTAAAACTGCTGTCCGGGTATGACTGTGAGCGCGCTGCCGACGGTAACTCGGCGCTCTGCCCTGTGGTCGTTTTCAGAACAACCTGTGTGCGTGGGAGGCGGCGAGGAGTCAGATGAGAACGATTCTCCTGCGGGTTTTTCATCTGAAGCTCCGCCGCTGAAGGCGAGACTGCACTTCCCGAATAAGCTATCGCCCCCGAGAAGCCGGTCAACTATAGCTAATTAAGCTATTTATATACTGTATACCTCTATAAACACCGTTTGTACCGTTAGACGAAGAAGAAGGGTGTTATTTATTTCTTTATTTATTTTAAATCTATTTATATATTTATGTTTACTGTTTAAGAAAAAAAATATATACAAACCTTTTTTAAAAAAAAAAACTTCCTAGATTTTTGGGATTTTACAAATACTGGAGGAATGCATGTTTTGTAACCAGAAAGTATGGAAGACGATGCTCTGTGAAACTCAATAAATGATGTTTGAAAACGAAAAAGAAATGTTTTTTTTTTCTGAGAGGCACCCCTTCTGTGTTAACAGGGTTTTCTTTGCATAAGTACCAAATGGCACAACAGTAACTTCTTGCTACATATTCTTCATTTTTTTCGGTCCTACGTACCCTTCCCCCCCAACATGATCCAGACTGTACATTTACCACACATTAACAGATATAATTAAAAGGTCTACACGGGTGATGCATTTATATTGAGTCCGCCAGTAATTTCTCCAGTACATCGCTCCAAATATGAACAGCCATTTCTCCCTTAACAGGATAATGAGAGCACTAAAGTACAATAATATTATTGTAGTCATAAGTGTCACTGTTGTAAATATATACATCATCCACTTTCCAACCGACTTACCTGGGGTCACAGGGGATGCTGGTGCCTAACCCAGCAAGCACAGGGTATAACCCGGGACAGGACCCCAGTCCATGACAGAGCACACAGGGCCACAGACAAACACACTCACACCAGGGCCAGTTTCCCCAGAAACCCATGAACCTATCAGTGTGTCTTCAGACTGTGGGATGACATTGGAGCACCTGGAGGAAGTCTGTGTGAACACAAGAAGAGCATACAAGCTCCACACAGACAGCAGCCGAGCACTTGAACCCAGGTTCCAGTGCTCTGCAGCAGTAATGCTAACCAGTAGGCCACTGTACCACCCGAAGAAGAGACAGATCTCCCATAACAGGTCCACAGGTGCACTGAAGTACAATCATTTTACTACCCAAAGAAGGCTCCACAGCCGAAACGTTGTGTTTCTTTTCGTCTTTCAGCATGGAATATTAACTTTAACTTGTTCCATAATTTTAAGTGTAAGTGAAAGGGGTCTTATCAAATAAGAATATCCTTTATTTTTATTAAATTTAAACTAGTTTAGGTTAATTTAATGGGAAAACCCAGAATAAATGAGAAATATCTCTACACGTACACGTACAATAAAGCTAGACAACCGGCAGTGTGTTAGGTCTTCATTATATTCAAGCTAACGAATAACATATTAAAAAATAAGATTTAAATTAGCCTCGTTCATATACGTGTGTATAAATGCTTACATATTAAGCTGAATGTGTACATATTGAGACGGGCGTATTTTCCGTTTCCTGAACTGCTCCTCATACTATCCGAGCGATACGTACTGACCCATTTAGAAATTTAATCACACCAACATACTGGTGAAAACCCGAAACTGGCTTCATTTAATGGCAAAACCCAGAATAAACGAGATGCATGTAAGAGGTCAGAGTGGGGAGCTGGATGAGCTGTGTTCTGCAGGTTTAAATTCCGCGCTCTGGGCAGGAGAGGGGCGAGGTCGAGTCCGGGAAATATCCCTACATGTACAGTCCAGCAAGACAACGCGCGTATTATCCGTTTGCTGAACGGCTCCTCACAATATCCGAGCGATACGTAACTTACCTGTGGGCTTGAAAATGAAAGTATGACGGCGCTGTGAATCCCGCGACTTCAGGTGCTAAACTTCCGATCCTCGCTTTCACTTTCCAAGCGTCTACCTGGCTGAGGTATAAACCTCCCACAGGAGAGAGCACCATGGCAGGGAAGAGCAACCGGAGGACTTCAAGAAGAGCGCATAAGACACGGATCTGTCCGAGCCCTGCTCTATACCCTTGGCTTCAGGTCCGATTAACAGAACTATCGCCTCCACACACAGCAGCGAAGGAGACGCGGAAAGAATGGAGCTCAGGAGCCTGTGGAAGTGCTGCTTCCTCGTTCTCTGCAGCCAGAATCTGTGCCGGGGCTGCAGGTGGATTCGGCACAGTTTCAGCGCCGTGAACACGGACGCGCTGTCGCTGCTCAGAGGGATGGTGAGTGTCTCCGGGGAGATGCCCTCCTGCAGCCTGCAAATCGTCACAATAATCTCAGGGCGAACAATTCAGCAGGAAAATGGTGTGGTGAACATCATTGAGGCGCTGCACTGAGTCCTGAACGAATTACACTTTTTCCTAAGAATGCTTTGGAATATTTGACACGGAACTATTTGAAACACTGATAAACGGCAAGCATGAGAGTAGATTTATTGAAAATGAGTTATGTGACTCTAAATTCCAATTCTATTGAATTTTGAGTCTCCTCCTTGTCCCGTAGTACTAAGTACGTGATCTTGTGAATAATGTCGTTAAGTCTAGGTTTACTTTAAAACCGTATTGACTCGTTCACATCAAGTGCATGTTGCCTGTTCCAGGGCGGGGAATTCGTGCACTCCAGTGTCATCGTGCCTTTCCCGAGCGAGTCTTACAGGCACGCCAAGGACTTTAAGGTAAGGAGAACATTGTTCATTATTA